ATGAGCACCTACTGTATGCTCAGAGGAGTCCCTGGGTGGCCCAAATGGTTAAGTACTAGACTACTAGCCAAAAGGTTGGAGGTTTGAACTCACCCAGAGGCCCCATGGAAGACAGGCCTGGCAATCTGCTTCCACAAGGTCACGGCATCGAAAATCCTACGCACAGTTCTACTCCGCACTCATGGGGTCGCTGTAAGTCAGAATTGACTCAGTGGCAGCTAACAACAACAGCACTGTACCAGGCAGGATCCTGTACTCAACACTGAATAAAACACAGTCCTCTCCTCGCAAGGTGCCTACATTTTAGTGGAGAAGACAGAAATAAATAAACACATCGATACATAACAAGTCAGGTAGTAATAAGTACTATGGAGAAAAATAAGACAGGATAATGGGGGAGAGTATGACTAGGATGGTCCAGAAAACCTCTCTTCTCCCTTTTGGCCTTATGTCAGAGCTGCAGACGATAATGCTTCCCTTCTTAGGGTGAAATTTTCTCCTGGGGTATTAGACTCAAGTACTTTCTTACTATCGGGAAAGGCCAAGTGAGCCAGTGTTTGTTAGTTATATAAGAATAGAAGGGAAAACTAAAATAATGAGGCTCTTTGCCCCTGGAGTTACAGCTTTGGTTCCCAATGGAGCATCCACGTTGACCCAACAAATTCAGGAATTCAGAAGAAGAGAAGCTCTGACTGTTCTCTTGCTTTCTTTTTATGTGGCTAACTGGTCAATGTTGAAATTCAATTAGCTCATCGCATTCATTGCTATGGCCTCTATATTAAAATATTCTGATTTGATATAAACAATCTAGCAATAATTCTGGAAATTGAACACATGAAGCTAATACTGGTATGTGCATAATTAGGTAGCCATTTAGTCAAATGAATATTAGAGCATCTACTATGTGACAGACCCTATGCTGGGTGTTGTGGGAAAAATAAGAATAACCAGCCATGGACTTTGCCTTCGGACAGCTTATAGTCTACCAGGAGAGATAAGACGTGCACAACATTACCACAGTATACGGTAGGACGTGATTGAAATTACAAGAGCGCTACACATAAATTGTAAAGGTAAAGAGTACTTCAAGCTATGGGGATCAGGGAGGTCTTCACAATGGCTTTGGAGCTGAGACTTGAATCCATCCAATGTGGCTGCTGCAGTGGCAAGGACGGCACAGCCCTAGGTGAGGAAGGGGCCCCTGGCTCCTACATGTGTGCTAAGCCCACCATGGCCAGGACAACAACACTTCACACCTAGGGAGGCAAGTCCTCTGGCTTCACCACCTCCACTGTTCACCCCTTATTCAAAGCCACCACTGGATTTTATCTGGTCCACTGCATCAGCCTTCTAACCAGTCTCCCTGCTTCTGTCCCTATGCCCAAGTCTATTCTCCCCATAGTTGCCAGAGTGATCTTTTAAAAACCTAAATCAGATTGAGCATCTCTTGTTTAACACCCTCCACTGACTTCTCATCCCCCTTGGATTTAACGCCAACTCCCTCACCGTGGCCCACAAGCCCTTCATAATTTGGCTCTGGCAATTTCTCCTAGCTCCTTGCCTATCACTTTCCCTTCAATCATTTCACTCCACTTGCTGTTCCCCAAAGAAACCAAACTCACTCCTGCCCCAGGGCCTTTGCTTATGCTATTCCCACTTCCAGGGATGCACTTCCCCAGAAACCATATGGTTCTCTCTCTTCTTTCAGGTCTCTCAAAAGTCATCTCCTTAGAGTTATCTTCCCAATTACCCCTCTAAAATAGGTCCCTTTACCTTGTTTTATTTTTCTCCGTAGTATTTATGATTAGTTGAAATTATATACGTGTTTACTTTCTTGGTTATTGTCTGTCTTCTATACCAGAATATAAGTGCTATGAGAGTAGAGACCGTCTATCTTGTTCAGTGCCTAGAACAGTACCTGGTACAAAGGAGGTATTCAATAAATACAGGTGGAATGACTGCCCAAAGACGCTAGTGGGGATTATATTCAATATGCCTCTCATTCCTGTTTTCACCAGCCAACAGCATCATTCAGCTTCCTCGAATGCTGAATGACTTCCAAATATCTATCTTTGGGTCAAACCTTTTATCTGAGTTCCAGGCTCATATATCACTTAGATACCTCAAAGACCTCAACATGATCTCCACACAACCCTGTTCTTGTCTCCTCACTCCGTTTTCACACACTGAGGCCACTTCCAGCATTCCTTGCCTCAGTGAATTGTGCCATCATCTATCCACTACCTCCATGGGCTGGGAGCCTGAACAATGCTTGACTAAATTCAAGAATTAGGCGTTCCTGTAAAGATAGTGGTATACACATGTGTTTGTATGTCTTCTTACGTGTGAATTTGTTCTTTTTCTATAAATATAATAGTTACGGTAATAATATTAGTAGAATGTAATTTATGCAATAAGGAAACTGCCCTTGAATATTCACGTACCTCTTATATAAGCCAAGAATTCCTCTTTCCACGCTACTTAGAGTAATTATTTCCTATTATGGCTGGCAGCACATATTCCTTCTGCAAAACACACTTTTTGAAAGTGTGTTACTTATATAAGGATCAACATTTGCTGTGTTACCACCGTAATAGTCTACGAGTTCAAAAGATTCAAACCAGAAGCAAATTCTCAAGCCATGACCCCAGGATAACAGCCTGTTTTTATCTTCGCTGAACAACAAATGTGTGTTTTAAAGAGAAGAACATTGCATGTACCATTACGAGGCTAGTCCTGGGAACATTATAAAAAAACAGCATTGTCCCGACAGATGCACTAATGTGCTTAATGAGGGCGTAAGCTCAGCCACTACAGTCTTCTTTCTCCCACACTACCCAAACTCTCCCCTCAAAAGCAAAACCAAACCAAACCAACCACCCTGTAAAACCAGAAAGAGACTCAGGCAATGCTGATAAGCTCCTTTCTGGGGCAGCCTGTCTGCAGCTCCTGGTCGCTGTGGAGGTTCAGATCTGTAAGATGCACGTGGACCGGGCCCAGGATTTGAGGAGCTGGAGGGTGGGATACACCAGAGGCAAGTGGGCTTTGCACTATGGCAAATGCTTTCTTGCATTCCCCCTTGAAAATTCATTTCCTTGCTTGTAGCATTTTCCTCTTTGAAAGAAAGAGGTTAGCCTTTGCCTGGACTTCAGTCTTAAGTCTGTGATGGGAGTTCTCCCCACTTCAGTCTCTAGCAGGACTAATAGCTCCTTGTCACTGGCACTGGGCCGATCGGAAATGGTGTCAATAAAGTGCAAATAATCACTTGGTCCCTGCTGCTCTCTGAGCCCGAAATGAACCAAGGAGGTGCTCTGAGGAGAGAAGGCAGACGGACAAGCCAGATACACCCAAGCCTCTGGCCTCAGCAAAAGGGGACCAATCAGGGAAAAGCCATTCCCCGGGTGTCATCAAAACCTTCCAATTTCACACAGAAAAGGAACACTGGCTCAAGTCTTATGAACGTTCAGTTGTCCCCATTTCTGCTAAATGGATTCCTTTGAGAGCTAAAATCTTAACCCTTGGAAAGCCTGGGAGGTTTGACACTCCCCAGCAGGGAGCTGCAGTGCAGAGAAGCAGTCATCTGTACTTCTCTAGCCACAGCACTGAACAAAGAAAGCTTGGGACTCTCATCTCTCCCTCCCAGGAATGCATTCCCACAGGCAGCTGGGAGAGTGGAGAGAGAGAGTAATCCCCCTCACCTACGGTGGGGAGGTCTAGGACACACAACAGCCTGTATGCCTGCATCTGAAGGGTGGGGGTCTTAAAACCATCCCAAGCCCCTCTCCCAAGCTGCTCTAATTACAGAACGCTCATCGTGCTCCCACACTTTGCTCCTTCCGCCTCTTTCCATGAAAGAAATGGATTCAGGGTCTCAAACTGGCTATCCAAAGGCTAACCCTGAGCTCCACAGGTTTGCTCAGAATCACAACAGATGCCCCCAAGTCCATGTAAGTGGGTGGAAGGTGAGAGAAGGGAAGGAAGGGCTCACTCCTCCTCATCTAGTTGGCACACTCAAGTCCACACAGGTTCATTCCCCTCTGAAATCCATTTCCACAGGCTTTTGCTTAATATTACTTTCATGTTATACCCCTGCTTCGGTTTCCTATCACACACCTCAACCACCCCATTCTCTCGGATCTTTTAGCTGTGAATTTAATGCTACCAGAAGACCAGCTGAATTCAAATGGGGTCTCAGGCCTGGGAGAGACAGCGAGTGGTATTCTGCATTTTCAGCAGGGACAGGAGGGGGTAGGGAAGAGAGGCTGAAGGGGGGCAGTGGCATGTTGCCCAAGGAAAACGTCACCCGTGTTCTATGAAATCTGCCCCTGGCAGCTTTGTAAAAGTTATCCAACCCACAAGCCCAAGCCACATTCCTGTTCTCTTTCTAGAGGGTTATGTCCTCTCTATTCAGGTAATTCCTAGACTTTTTAGCCAAAAACCTGACTTTTTGCTCTCTGACCCATCCTGAACACACTCCATTTTCTTACCAGCCTGTCCCCAAGCCAAGCACCTGTAGTTTACCATCAGGAATGGCGAAAGCAAGCCTGTTTAAGTCAGACTTGCCTTCCTCAACACCCTGACAGAACAAGGCCTCATTCACCTGCTTCCTTCCCAGCCCCAATCGAGCCTCCACAAAGGCTGCTCGTGAACAAAGGAGATTTAATGTCACCGCTGACACACACCCTTCAAAGGCGCTTCCTCCTGCCCTGCCCAACTTCAAAGGCTGTATCATCTCTGACAACAGCAGGCACCAACTGCAGCTTCTAAGAGAGGTTGCCGCAGGGATTCTGAGCTGGGCTTGCTGCACTGTTCAGGAGTCAGCCCCTCTCTGTGGGGACCTGCATCCGCAGCGACGGAAACACCAAGGTTAGGGCCTTCCGCAGGCAAAAGCCCTTGGGGGATTTTTGAAGCCATTGGGAAAAGGTTAATAAAGGCAGTTGAAATGGCAGCAGGCAAGAGTTACTCTTCAAAGACAACATGCCTGTCTCCATCCCACTTACCGGGTTACAGGTGTTAATGTCTACCCCATTCCGCAGGTAATCCAAAACTTTGTCCAGGTTACCTGATCTTGCTGCCCTCAGAAAGCTGGTAGCAGCATCGGCCTGTGAGGAAAAACAACACACCATGAGTGTCCTCGGGTGGTAACGACCTCACTCTTCCATTCAAGCCCATGAGCCTTGGAAAGGGCTAAGGCCACCACAGCAGCCACTCTGGCTTTTCCTTATGGCAGCTGACGCCATGACACCACCCAGGGTGGACGATGGTACCCAGCGTGGTAAGGCATCCTACAGCTCCTGCCTGGACTGCCCTTGGGTCCGTAATGTGAGATTGCCTCAGAGGCCAGGCCTCCCTTCCTTTTGGTATTTTTATAAGCAAGCTTGCTTGACGGGGACCTTGGAAGGACCAGCCTTTGAGAGGGATCCCATTCCAACGTTGAATGCTCAGCACGTCTGTTCCTTGGTTGTTGCTCAGCCACCTACCTCATGCATAACAAGTCCCTGCCACCAGGAACACTGTTTGCATTAAAGAAGAATGACAACCAGAAAGAGTGAGAGCTGGGGGAAATAAAACAAAATCTACTGATGTAGACAGATGCAGTGGAAAGAGTATTGGAGTGAGGCAGATCTAAGCTCATAGCAGCTTCACTGTAGCTAGCTGGACGACCCAAAGTACTTAACCTCTCTTTGCTTCTATTTTCTTCTCTCATCCAGGGAGAGTAAAACACTTCTCATACCCTTATTGTGAAGATTTTTTTAAAAAAATAACATATAGAAAGGGTTGAGCACAGTGCCTGGCACAAATCACGTACACAGGTTGAGCTTAATAGGTGTTATGGATTGAATTGTGTCTCCCCAAAAGATCCGTGAAGTCCTAACCCCTGGTACCTGTGAATATGATCTTGTTTGGAAATAGGGCTTTGGAAGACATTATCAGTTAAGTTAACATGAAGTCATACTGGAGTAAGGTGGAACCTAATCCAATTTGAGTGGTGTCCTCATAAAAAAGAAAGGACATGGAGAGACAGACAGAGGAAGGACTGCCATGGCAAGATGAATCTACAAGTCAAGGAGTACTTGGGGCTACCAGAAGCCTGGAGAGACAAGAAGAATCTTCCTCTAGGGATTTCAAAGAGAGCATGGTCCAGCCAACACATTGATTCAAACTTCTAACCTCCAGAACTGTGAGATGATAAATTTATGTCTTATAAGCCACCCAATTTGTGGTACTTTGTTATGGCAGCCTAGAAACTAATTCACAAGACAAGCCATATGTGAGGCCATTTCTACAGAAGATACCTAGTAGTTTCTTCTCCATCCCAGGGGCACTCTGTCTCCTTCCTTTACATGCCCTCCTCAGAAAGCATGCTGTAGTGAGTTGAATGTGACCCTCCCAAAAAATATGTCCATGCCTGTGAATATTATCTTATTTGGAAACAGGGTCTTTGCAGATATGATTAAGTTAAAGATCTTGAGACGAGATCATAATGGATTACCCAAGTGGGCATCTGTGGTGGAGGATATACTTCAGGAATGAGGATCAGCCTATTGGTTCCCCGTGAGCTGGATTCCCAGAGAAGTCAGACTCACGCAGAGCCAGCTGATTCAGAAAGTCTGTCTGGATTCAACTGTTAGGGAAAACACTGTATTACTCCCCAAGAATGAGAGTGTTAAAGAGACCTTTCTCCCACCAGTTAAAAGTTATCTTTTGCCGCACAATGACAGGACCCAGGATGAAAATCTTAGAATGGGTAGATTAAAGATAGATGCAATATCAGCTAATGACACTGTTTGACTGCTCCAAGCACCAAATCTAGGAAGTGAAGCAGAATATTTACCACTGACAGACAAGCAGACAGAGGGGAAAGGAAGCCCAGTCTGGACTAGAGTGAGGAAGCTAAACAGTTTCTCTAGTTTCTATAATATAACAACGAAATTATGAGACTCATACCAGTCATTGGGCCAAATGCTTTACAAACATTATGTCTTTTCATCCTCATCACAATCTGTGAGGTAGGTATAATTATTATGCCCATTTCAGAGGTGACTAAACTGAGGTTTGGAGTGGTTAATACCTTGCCCAAGTTCTGCAGAGAGTTAACAGGGATTCAGCCCAGGTTGGCCTGATCAAAGCCTATGCCTTTCTACTGCCCTTGACCCCAGGGCGTATTCTCAGCAATTTCAAACCCGAGGGTATCCAGACAGCCCTGACAGACTGGTAGGGACTGGGCGAGGCTCCGTGCCTTTGCCAATTAAACAGTGAAACTGTGGCAGACAAAAGGCCCCAGGGGGGTCCCAGCAGTTCCTGGCCCTGACCCTGGGCTCTGTGTTAAGGCCAAGACAGGTCTCTAGAAAGGAATCTTCTAGTCCCAGTCCTTCCTTTCACTGATGATGTAATTGAGGCCCAGTTGAGTCAGTTCCAACTCATAGCAACCCTCTAGGATAGAGCAGAACTGACCCATAGGGTTTCCTGGGCTATAATTTTTACAGGAGCAGATCGCCAGGTCTTTCCTCCCACGGGGTCCCTGCGGGGGTTCAGATCGCCAACCATTTGGTTAGCAGACAAGCGCGTAACCACTGCGCCACCAGGGCTCCTTCCGCAAAGATTTCAGCCTTGGAAACCCTATGGAGCAGTTCTACTCTCTCCTATAGGGTTCCTTCTGAGTCAGAATCAACTTGACGGCACGGGAAATCTTTCTGGAAGGAGATGCTTCAGGTCACACAAATAGTTACAGATGAAATTCAACTGCGAAGACTTGTTCAGTTTTTCTTTTTGGTCTTCTCTAAGCATGCGCTAGTCAGGGCATAATCGGGATCCCCAGGGGATCTTAGAGGCGAATTGTAGACAATGGCGTCACTCTCACTGGCTACTGTGGATCACTCGGTTTAATTCTATAACGTTATTTACTGAGGTCCTATTTCAAGTCCAGTGTCCTGCTACTGACAAAGTGAGAGAGAATAAAAAATCAGAACATAGGTCCCTGCCCTAGTGGCTTGAAAAACTAAAGTGACAGAGTTATAAAGGGGTCATTTGTGCATGTGCATTTGTGCATGCATTCAACAAGGATTCACTAAGCACTCCTAGGTGTCAGGTAACATTTAAGCTACGGAGTGGTTTGAGTCCACCCAGGGGTACCTCAGAAGAAAGGCCTGGTAGCTTTAGTTGGTATATGAGACCTATTATCACCATCTTGCTATTCCGAACCCTACTGACCATCTATCTGAGTCAATTACCTCCAACTCTGTCCTAGGTGCAATTTCCTGGTGCACCTAGGAACAGGTTGTAGAATTCAATAGGGCAGAAAGAGGATTTAAACAAAAAATCCAATATTTTCCATTTAAAATGTATTTACTTGAGTAAATACTAACCAAAACTATTTCTAGGCTATAGTAAATTGGAGACCCACCCCTTACCTGCTGGGCTACCTCAGAAAGGCTTTTCCGTGAGAGGAGACTAACACTTCTTCTGTCCGATTGGTTCACTCATGGTAACCCCATGTGTGTCAGAGTAGAACTGTGCTCCATAGGGTTGTCAATGGCTGATTTTTAGTAGACCACCAGGCCTTTCTTCCGAGGTGCCTCTGGGTAGACTCGAACCACTCACCTTTTGGTTAGCAGTGAGCACATTAACTGTTTGCACCTCCTGAGAGGAAGCCAAAGGAGGTCTGCTGATTGTATGTCAAAAATCTTTCCACAATGTCCATAGCCCCTTGCATCACCACTGAAATGCTGTCAACCCCCTCCTGCATGCCCACCAAGGCTGCCCTCTTGTGTCTTTGCCCCTTACTGCCTTACTGGTCTTGAGTTTTATTTTAATCTAACTTTACCAGTGAGAAAATTGTCGGTGCCTGCATGGGGGTAATGAGTAAGACAGCACACATTTTGATGTGTCCCTGGTCCACATTCCTGCTGGTTCATCCATATGATGTCCCTGAACTTCCTTTCAAAACAAAATACATTTACTCTTATAAAGCTCCTACTATGTTTTAAGCACTCCACACAAATTAATTCATTTGCTCCTCATAAGCATCCCATGAGGCAGGTACTTTTATTATTCCCTATTTGAAATGAGGTAACTGAGTCACAGAGAAGTTAAGTAACTTGTCCAAAGTCACACAGCTAATATATGGATTGGCAGATTTGAATCTAGGTAGTCTAGCTCATGAGGCATTGGTGATTCCGTGGTAGAATCCTAACCTTCCACATGGGAGATTAGGGTTCTATTCCCAGCCAATGCACCTCATGCACAGCTACGACCCATCTGTCAGTGGAGGCTTGTGTGTCGCTATGATGCTGAACAGGTTTCAGCTGAACTTCCAGACTAAGATGGACTAGGAAGAAAGGCCTGGCAATCTACTTACAAAAATCAGCCAATGAAAACTGTATGGATCACAACAGTCTGGTCCACAACTGATCATGAGGATGGCACAGGACTGGGCAGCATTTCCTTCCGTTGTGCACAAGGTCGCTGTGAGGCGGGGGCACCTTAACAGCAGCTAGCAACAACCATCTAGTTCCAGGGTCTGTGCTCTGAACCACTGTACTCTACTTCCAAGCATTTTCTTTTGTCCATAAGACTCCTCTCAAGTTCAGCTCTGGCTCCAGGAAGCCTTCACCTGCCCTCAGAGGCTGGGCTCACTTCAGCCCTCAAACTTCAAGAGGAAGTAAGGGAAAGGGAAAGGAAGGGATGGAATTCCTTCTGGGCCTCAAGTTCTCATCAGGGCTACTCTGAAAGGAAGGTGAGCCCGGGTTACCTGAGACACCCAGGCTATTATTAAATTTGCACTTCCTGAGTAGGGTGATACTAATATAGTAATAAATAAATAGCCGAGGGGCTCCGGTGTCCTGGGAGGGAGAGTCCGGAAGCACACTGTTAAATGCCAGGATGCCTGTAACACATGAGCAGTGAAGCCTTCTACAACACCAAAGGCCAAGCAAAGTTTACTTCCAGGTTTAGTAAGAGAACCCCAGCGCTTCTAAGCATCTTCTCTGGGGCCTGCAGTGACCTGCGTTTTCCCCAGGACAAATCATAGCTTACTGTTTAGTGCAAATCGTATCTTTAAAAAGATGAATGGATTGGGAAAGGGAAAGACAATACACAATATAGGGGAAGTCAGCACAACTTGACCAAAACAAAGGCATAGAAGTTTCCTAGACACATTCGACACCTTGAGGGACTGAATTGCTGGATCTGGGGGTTGGGGACCATAGTCTTGGGGGACATCTAGTTCAACTGGTATAACATAGTTTATAAAGAAAATGTTCTACATCCCATTTTGGTGAGTAGCGTCTGGGGTCTTAAAAGCTTGCAAATGGCTATCTAAGATACATCTACTGGCCCCATCCCACCCAGAACAAAGGAGGATAAAAAGGACACAAGGAAAATATTAGCCCAGAGGACTAAAGGAGCACCTGAACCACAGCCTCCACCAGACTGAGCCCAGAAGAACTAGATGGTGCCTGGCCACCACCACTGACCACTCTGACAGGGATCACAACAGAGAATCGCTCACAGAACAGGACAAAAATGTAGAACGAAATTCAGATTCACTTAAAAAGGCCAGACTTACTGGTCTGACAGAGACTGGAGGAACCTCTGAGACTATGGCCACCAGACACTCTGCTAACTCAGAACTGAAACCACTCCTGAAGCCCACTTTTCAGACAAAGATTAAATAGGCCTATAAAACAAACAATAACACACGTGAGGAACATGCTTCCTAGTTCAACCAAATATATGAGACCAAATGCACAACTCCCACCCAAAAGCAAGATGAGAGGGCAGGAAGGGACTGGAACTGGACAAATGGACACAGGGGACCCGGGGTGGAAAGGGGGAGCATGCTGTCACATTGTGAAATTGCAACCAATGTCACAAAACAATATGTATATAAATTTTTGAATGAGAAATTACCTTGAACTGTAAACTTTCACCTAAAGCACCATTAAATTAAAAAATAGATAAATAAAGATGAGTGGAAACTGAGCTATTGACATGTAAACAGTGATAAGGCGACATCTCTTTCCCAAGGGGCCGTGTTTGGGCAAAATGCAGTTTGGTTAACAAAGCCATCCATTGCCAGAACTCCTAGGAAGCAATCTAGATCCTCTCCTGCAGGTACTGCAGCATAGCCCGGAGACTAAGCCAGGCTGGTGGCGGGTGCAGAGCTGCCTGCTCCCTCATGGAGGTTGCCTCCACATCTGAGAGCACCCTGAAAGTCCAGCACCAGGGGATTCCTCGTTGCCCATTTCAGACTTGGCAGAAACGACAGTCAGCACAGCCTGCCTTTATCCCACTGCCTACAGAGAAACAGGACCCCTGTGTGTGCGTTTTCATGAGGGTTCTTTCATTTCTCTTTCCAGAAAGTTATGCTGTTACAGCTTTACAAAGTGTCTCAAAGAGCCCCGCTCAGACTGCCATTGGCAAAGATAACATGAGCAAATTAAAGGTGTCATTGAGGAACAAGGGTAGAACAAGATGTGTAGGGAGGAGTCCTGGGTCCTGTTTTAATCTCC